GCTCTTCGTACCGATCCTTCAATCAAACCACTTACCCGAGGTGAGTTCATACCCCTATTTTCTCCGTGTGTTTTTTTTTAATGTTTTCAGGGGGAGGATACAAGCTAAACATAAATGCTTTCAAAACTCATGCAATTCTCATACTTTAACCCCTTTTGTACTATGTTGAGCATAAGGGTCGTTTTCACTAAAATTGCATAGTTTTCCGGATTCGTTATTCACTACATTATACATGCAAACTATAATCGGTATAGTTTGGGATTTTCTAAATAGGACAAGTACAGGAATTTTCACTACTAAACATATGCACTAAGACATGGATAGTTTACAGTTTACATCACTACGTTATCATTATAAATATCACTATACACGGTATACATACAGATTTTCACTATGGTAGAACGCTATGACACTACATGTAAACTAGATTGTACGATAGTGTAAGGCGCTACTTCACTACTGTACCCTTAGGTGTACATGGATAAATCCCATCATAGTATAACCAGAGTCTCCTGGAGGGAGAGCGTGAGATTTGTGAATAGATCTATTCGGGACTGACAATCCCACACCCGAACTGCTAGCTACAGTTAGGCAGGCATGCCTAGGGTGACAAATGTCATTTAACGCGACGCCTGAAGAACGTTGGAAAGGTCTCTAGTCATATCAAGCATGGTTATACGACTCACATTATGTATAATTCACTTTTAGTTTACAATCTGACACTCTTCAACGGTTTTATTTATACTAAATAGAACTAATACACACTACGTATAATGGCTAAAGCTAGGGTTTTCAAACAGAACCGATTATGCAAACAAAGTATCTATACTTCATGATTAGCTTTAGCTAGTCACGTGAAGTAGTATTTTCGTATATCACTACGGTTTTCACTAACGAACATTCATGGTTTACACGGAATCGATAACACTACGTTTCCACTAAAGAAAATATCGATTTTTCTTGAAACTACAAACATTTCAGCTAGCTCATTAACAAAGTTTTCATTTCAAAACAACTACTTATGAACTCACCAGCTTTATGCTGATATATTTTAAAACTGCTTGTATTCTCAGGAAATCAGTAGACAGGTACTTGCTGGATTTTTGAGAAGCTGGAGCAATAAGAGTCTTATGTTTATATTTTATATATACTCTCTGATGTAATTCAAACAAGTTTCAAACTGATGTAAACATTTCATATATGTACACACTGTGATGGTTGTGTTGCTATGGTTGCTATTATACATTGGTTGTGATGCTATACATGACGTCCTCCGCCCCGGAACGTTTCCGCCATCGGTTTCGGGGTGTGACAATATCCAGCTAAAATTACAAACTTTAGATCTATTTCTAATCCAAAAATACGAAAAAGAAACTATGTCGTCGAAAATCGCTGACTTTTTAGGCTTAACTGTCTCTAAAACCATGTTATTTTCCATAATTCCAAATCACCCAAAAAGCAGTAATAACCAATCGCATCAAAACCTTTTTTTGACCTGCCGAAAAAAATAAGGAATCGGCCCAAGTGATCCAAGAGCCAATCGTAGAAGAATTAGGACAAATGATATTCTGCCACCTACTAATAAGGGACCACACAACCTGCAACTCTAGGCAAGAAATAAAAAGATGGTTGGACGACTCCACCACTAACTCGCAGACAGGACACAAAATGGAATCCAGCTCCAAACCACGTTGCGAAAGGCAAGGATGAGTGGGGATACGATTCAGCTTAATCCGCCAAAGCAACACATTTAACTTATTCAGAACCAAAGAATTCCATCGACTCGCATACATAGAATTCGGGAGAGACGTATTATCAAGAAAAGATCTCGCAGAAGAAACCGTGAAAGTGCCATTCAGATCCAACTCCCAAGAATACGGTTATCTGTGTCCAACCAAGAGCACAAAGCTAACAATCTCTCAAGTTCAAACATTTGTTCGTCCTCCGCACCTCCTCTAGGTGCTCTACGCAAAGCACACAAACGAGAATCCGAGCTAGACCTATCGACAACGAGGCAATCCCGATCCTACTCCAAGGCTTAGATTCTGTGGAAAATGAAGCTTAATAGGAGCTGACCCCAACCAGGAGTCGTGCCAAAAATGGGTCCGGTCACCTTTACCCACTTTAACCGAAACATACTCAGTCAAATTTATGCCCCTCAAACATAAGCTATAGATGGTCCTGATAATATTACACCAATGACCATAACATCTAAAAGGAACGACGTATGAATCAAGATAAGCATTGTCACCATGAATTGCTTTAATGACTTGCAACAAAAGAGCTTTTCCGTCAATAAAAAATCGCCACCTCCATTTGAAAATAAGAGCATGATTAAAGTAGAATAGACTACCAACCCCAAGACCTCCGTTATCTTTACTAGCCAACACTTGATTCCAACTAACCTAAAACAACCGGCGTTCACCAACGTCAGCATCCCAAAAATAAAAATTAGCCCAAATCCTCTCTAGAATCTTGAGTATTGTTTTTTCGGAACCCTTAAAAATAGACATATGATAAATGACCAAACTACCAAGCATAGATTTCAAAAGTGTAAGATGGTCCCCAATAGAGAGGGATTTAACTTTCCACTTAGAAAGTCTATGCAAAAACTTATCGATAACAGATTTCCATGAAGAAATACGATTGGTATATTCACCAACGGGGACCCCCAAATACAAAAAAGGAGTCCGAGACGCAGTACAACCAATCAACCTAGCAACCTCTTCGACTATAGTATACCCCACACCTACACCAATAAGCTTGTTTTTATGCAAGTTAATTTTTAACCCGGAGGCAAGGAAAAAGCACCTTAACATCCAAATTATACGACGTGCATTCTCAACCTCCCAGTCATACAACAAAAATAACATCATCCGCATACAGAAAGTGTGAAATCTTTAGGTTTGAAAAAACTACATCAACCCTTTTAGAAGCAATAACACTCTCGGCCTGTTTGAATAGCAAAATGAAAACCCTTCATAGCCAAAATAAAGAGAAAGGAGATAAAGGATCTCCCTGTCGGGAACCCCTCTAAATAACAAACTCATCTATAGGCGACCCATTTACTATAATCGAACCCATAGAAGAAACCATAGAAGCTTTTATCCAACTACACCTCGACCGAACACCATATGAGACATAGCCTCGACCACAAAATCCCATGACAAAGAGTGGTATGCCTTCTCAAAATCTACCTTGAAAATCATCGGTTGTTTCTTTTAAAATTTATACCAATCTATTATCTCGTTTAACATTATGCGGCCGTCTAAAATATGAGAACCTCCCATTCTACCGATAGCTTTTTGCATAGCACTTTCGGCACCCACCATATTAAATCCCATATTCTGACCCATACATATCGTAGCTTCTAGGTCCACCAAATCAGAACCCTTACGCTTCGAGGTAATAATATGAGGCGAAGATAACAATCTGAAAGAATTTGTTGGAGCGAGAGCACAAATCATCAGAACCCACATCAATACCATCAATGAATGTATCACCATAATCTTCGTGAGCCAAATGAGGCGATACAGACTTACCACCTTTCCCAAGATCAGCAAAATCTCTCTCACCTGACTCGTTAAGGCCCGACGGTGAAGAGACATCAGGTTCTCCAGAGCTCAGGTCATGGAGAGCATCGATACACGCCATACCAGAAGGAGGGTCCTCAATATGTGTCATTGTCTTCTAAATAACTTCCATAGGGAGAAAAGGATCTGACAATAAACTAGGTTTGTCAAAAGAAATATTATGTGAGTCTTCTATAATTTTTCGTTTGAATCATCATGACCCAAAAAAGTTCTATTTACATAGTGTTTGCCAATTTATATTTTTATATTTGTTATTATTGTTATTGGTGACTTTTCTTGCTTCCAAGTCTCTTATTGGTTTTTTCAGTTTTTTCTATTTTTTTTTTGAATTTTTTATTTTTTCCTAAAATCCAAAAACTAAATATAGTCTCTTTCTCTTAAGAGATAAGATGGAAATTAAGACATAAACAAGATTTAGCATCTCTTACTAATCTTATTTAATGTCTTACTTTTTATTTTTATTTTAGAATCATGTGACCATTGCACATGAGACCAAAGCAAGCACAAAGTTATGATATCATGTGACCTCTCTAGAATGTCTTTCAATCACAAAGCAAGCATCTCTCACTTGCAACAAATGGCAATATACTTTCATTTATATATGTATGATATCATTCTACTTCCATTTTTTTATATTACAACATTGTACTTTCAGTTTTTAGTTTTTTTAAGGCACCATACTTCAAAAAAAAAAAAACTCAATTATAGATCTATATATTCACTTTTTTCTTATTATGACATTATACTTGGAAAAAATAAGAATTGCTTTGTCTTTAGGTGCCATCAGAGTCGATGGTTATATTTTTCAAAGTACACTACTCTAATAGAAAAAAAATGCAAGCAGGATGTCATGATAAAAATGAAGGCTTCGGGAATTTTGGATCTAGAATTTAAATGAAAAATACAAGAAATAGCAACGTACTTTCTTTTATTTGTGTGTTAAAGCATCATACTTTCATTTCTTTTTATTACACCATTGTGCTTTCAATTTATTTTCTTATTAAGGTATTAGTACACTTCAAACCATTGCCTAGTTATAACAGTGTACTTTCAACAAAAAAATTATCTTATAACAACACTTTACTTATAACTTTTTTTTCTTTTAAGGCGTTCTCTTCCGAAAATTCTACCAAATTATAGCATTATACTTCCAATATTGTTCTTATTAGGATATATACTTGGGAAAACTTACCCAAATATGGCGGTTACAATTGCATTGTACATGGACGTGACTGAAATAATACAAAAAGATGAAAAAAGATGCTATAATCGAATCTGAAACCCTAGGTGGGTCATGTATATGGTAGACGCCCTAAGATTTGAACTTACACGAGAGGCCTCTATTTCATACAAAAATGGAGCAAACAAGAAACAAATGCACAATCAAACTATAAATTTTCTAATATTTGCTTTCAGTATATACACAACTAAACTTTGACACCACCATACACTGTCTACCATCTAAAATACTACAGGCAATGCAAACTTAATAACACAGTAATAAAGTTAAAAAAATCCCAATCCAACTTATTAAATCCCTCCAGAAGCTTCCCTGTTCCCGATTTCACTGTGATGCAGAACATCGTCATTGGAGGACGACGATGCCTGTTGAGGTGCTTCTGGATCTAAAACAACCCTGGAATCATTTTGGCGACTCAATCTGGCATTAATCCATCGTCTTCTTAATCTTAAAACCTCCACAAAAATCGAACTACCACACATTACAACCCCACATCCCGCAAACGTTGCAAGAAGGATCGATAAAACTGGCTGAATGTTAATCTGCATTGCATCAATTTAGGATTCTAAATCACAGAGTTTAATCGTATCTTGAAAGAATCACTCGGAGAATGAAAATTCATCTTCTTACCACATTGTAGAATATATGCGCGAAGAGTACCACAAACGAAAACTGAATCGATGCATACAACCACACAAATCTTCTAGTCACTACACACAAGAAAACTAAAACGGTAAAAAATTAAGAAAGAGACGATTTTCATTTCAATTTTTTTGGAAAAAACAGATAACATACCCATGGTGGAAGCAGTCATGGATGAAAGAAGACCCAAAACACACGAAAATGGAAGAGATAGAGCGATTGCACCTGTTCCTAATCTCCCGACCTTCATTCAACAAAATCATCAGATTGATAGATTCATTACGATAATTTCAAATATCTAATGATCTTTTGAGTCTTACCAGAAGCTGCTCAAGGAAACAGAAGTATGCAAGCATGCTAACAATGACCAAAATCGGCACGTCCTGCCACACCCTATAGAGATCACTGATTTATATCAGAACAAAAACTAAAATTAGCTCCGAATCGAGAAACTTAATTAGAACAAGAAATTGGATAATTAACTAACCCGTAGCCATTAATTTCCATGTGATTGGCTCTACTTGCAGAAGAAACGTTTCGATTTCTAGCCGTACTTTGGATTCTTAGAAGTGTAACAGATAGATTTCGAACATCTTGATGACACACATCGCAGGTTTTGTTACCCTTGATACTAAACCATTTCACTGCACATTCTTGATGAGCCAAAGCAAGTTCACCTTTGCAGCTACATTCCATTTTTAGGGTTTCACCACCTTCACGTAATTCAACCATGCATATCCTGCAAACCGCTTCTTCTTCAGGTATATCTTCCCCGCCATAACCTTCATTGTCATCTAAAACAAAAAGATTACCCATAAAAATTGAATCTTTCTAGCCATTTATGATTATGGAAGCTCGGTTTATGACTTTATGAACTCACCAGGATTAATACCAGTCGGGGTAGGTGCTGGTGTCGTGGGGTCAGCATCTTTCAGTCGTGGGGTTGAAGGAATTACACGAAAAAATGAATCCATTCTCTTGATACAGACGTCTTTGTCAAGATTCGGAGCTGAACGAGATCGAGACATATGCTTCTGGACTTTCGTCTCCAAATTAAGAGACCCTGTCGAGCATTCAAGTACAGGTGGACCCTCCGAATGACCGACAGGGGTAACAGGTAAAGACGACGTCGTCCTCTTCCCACGAGGGGTAAATATTTTAGTAAAGGACCATGATCTTGAGAAAGATGGAGGTGATTGAATTGTGCTCACCACAGCTTTTTCTGTATCTGAAACAGTGTTGTTCCTGTTCTTGAAACTTAGCTTTGTTAGAAGGCTTTTCTTCGATGATTTGGTTCTTGATGCGTGAGTTGTTGGTGATCCAAGTGATCCTGAAGAAGTTGGTGTCAAGTTGAAGTTTACTTTTTTTGGAGTTGGAGTTGGTGTTGGAGGCATTTTTATCAGAACAAATTCCCCTGAAGAAGAAGAGGGTTGTAATGTTCTCGATGGTATCTCCAAGAACAGATTCTGTTTTCTCCATTGCTTTCCGTTTTGAGCTTCTATATTTTCCTCTGAAATGTCTTCTTCAACCTAAAGATAAACAAGAAATTCAACGAAATTAAGGATAAAGACTGTACATAGTACTGTTTTTCCATTAAATCAAATAACGCCGTATTAAAATAAGATGCTTTAAATTGCATCAAAGAATTAGGAAAGTTCACAACTGTTTTCTAGTATTAAATTAATAAATCAATTGAAGCCCTGACTAGAGTTAAAACATCACAACTATAAAAACCTCCAAATCTTTGAGCTTTGATTTTGCTATTCCTGACGAACAAGAAATTCAAGCAGTTTCATAAAGAACAGAGACCCATATGATTAGATTCAAAAAGATGGTAACTTTAGTAGTAAATGATCGAATTAATGATGGCCAATTGCAAGAGATGATATTAAAGAGAAAACGGAGGAAGGAATGAAGAGAGACCTTGTGGATAGGGATGATAACTTGTTGAGTAGGTGAAGAACTTGAATCATGCACCTCAGATGCAGACATGGTGTTACTCTTTTGAGGTTTGGTTGAAGAGTTCGAGATGGGTTTTCGATATCCAGAAATTGAAGATATGGAGTTATGAGGTATGGGTCTGTGGGATGGGTGAGGGAAGATGGAGGGAGGAATGTAGAGCTTGATGATGTAGAGAAGTAATTGCATGAAAGTGGAGGGAGATATAGAACTGGTGTGGGGAGTGGCATTTATATCTTTTTCTATCATTCTCACGAATATCAATATTAATCGAATCCCGTAATACATTAATTAATTTTCTATGCTTTACAATAAATATCACTACCTACACCTCCCAAATAAAATAAAGTCGTTTGTTACCTAGAATTGCATATAATAGAATGGAAAGAAAGAACGTTAGGATATGTTTGACTTCGTAAGTGTAATGACTCGGTTTGATATACTTTAATTTAGTGAATTAAAGCTGATTTTGGCTTTAAAATATAAATCTAAATAGTTTAAAGTAAATTAAAATCTGATTGGGAACCGGCCGTTTGATTGGTTTTAAATACTCAACAATACATTCAAAAATATATAATTTTAATGTTAACAAACTTGATTTGTCTGCTTTAAATTTATAAAATATTAAAAAAAAACTTCAATAATAAATAAATGTTTTTATTAATTAGGCCAAACCTTCTGTAATGATTAGATCATTTATAGTATAAGAGTTTTTTTATGAAAAAAATTCAAAAAAAAAAAAAGTTCTAGATTTCTTCACAATATAGTTTTTTTTTTCCAAAAAGTTAGTTATGATTTGTTAGTATTTATAGTTTGGCTCTAGGTAGTTGAAACTTCACCTATATAATAATTGCAATAACTTCTTAATTAACAAGCTCAATGAAAAAAGTATGCTTTGAAAAAGCTCATCTAATACTAGAAAAAGGTCATCTAATACTAGAAAAATATATGAAGATCAAGAATTCTTTAGTATTTCCTATATATTACTAAAATTTTTATGAAAAATAATAAGAAACATGTTTTTCTTTGAAGTTCGTACATTTTGTCTAGAAAATAAATAAATATGTAACGTTACTCAATAATTTTTATTAACATTTATATGAAAAGTGTTTCATTTAATTGGATTATTACGAAGTTCCTCGAAACCTAAGAGAAATTATAAAAATTAAGAAATAATAATAATAATAATAATAATAATATACATAATAAATATTATTAATATTATCATATAATATTTTTTAAACCTATTTTTAATGATATTATTAATATTATCAAGTTAAAATGTACAGGTGATTATTAACACTTCTAATATAATGTATAGTTTTTAGAGTTGTGTTTATTGTTTTTGTGTATGAATTTTTACATATTTTTGTTATTTGTATTAGATGATGATTTTGACCGTGTGAGGCTTAAATTGGAGAGTATGGAAGGTCAGTTTGGAAAGATGAAATCAGAAAACATAATCTCTCTATTTTATAGGTCTTGATATTGTGTATTGTCTAGTTTTGCGAGATTTGATTTGGGTTCCATTTTGAACATTAGGTTCTATTTACAACATTGTACTCAGTCTTTTAGGGCTTTTATTGATTATAGTCAAAATGTAAGATTAAATTTGTTTTTTGCGGTTAAATAAATGAGTGAAATTATAACTTTATTTATTGATTTCTTATTTGATGAATTTTCACCTTTCCTTATTCAATTACTTTGATTTAATTTCTTGGTACTTTAAGACTATAAATGTGTTCATGAGGAATTCATATAGAAGCATTGGTTAGTCTGGATCATCAAAGAAAATGGAGTTGCACGATGGTTGGATCATGAAGAAGAAGGAGGTTATAATAACTCAAATAAATATAATCTACTTAAATTATTGTGACAGTAATTAAGCAATTTAATTAGGAGAGAAGCAAATAATGTGTATTAACATAAAAAAAAAAAGTCATCTTTAATGATCAACTAAACTTAGGTGAATTAGAAGGTTGTAACCAATGTCAGCTGACATTCTAAAAAGCTTGAAAAATCATATGAAACCCATATTGGAATTTCATAAAAAGGTGAAAGATTTGAAGAAGCAATCAGAATTATTAGTGTTTGAAAATTAAAGTACGGTCCATTTCAGATAATAAGAATTTCGGAATAACAATAATACTTGGATCGTGATAATATCACTTTCCAAAATCTGTAATTCGTCTCTTATAGTTTGGGGTACATGAATTTAGAAATGAGATAATACCAAGAAATATGATTTGGATCACATGCCTAATCCAAATCATAAAACACAGGATACCTTGTTGTTAAGTGTTCTTGAGAGAGAGAGAATGACAAAAGAACAATTTTGTTTGTATAAACAATCAACCATTTTCCTACAACAATTACCTTGTATTTATACAAGGATGAAAAAGTGGTTAAATGTTGGTTACACCAAATTGGCGCAAAAAAACGTAGTTTTTGGACACGACCGATGCTTACATAGCCATGATTTCATCCGCTGAACCACCACCAATGGCGTTGCCCTCGGACTCCCGTATATTCGAGTTCACATTTAACACTCCGAGTGTGCACCCCACACCTCCATTCTCGGATGGTAAACTGAACCCGACCTGTCTCGACAACAATAATAAATACAATATATCATAAAAGTCTTATGTTTTTAACGTGTATCTAGAAAAAACCATAATATTTTTTTATTATTGCTATGACAACAACTTTCTCGCGGAAGTATCACTCTAGACCATTTAACGAGTTTCAAGGTTAACTTTGTTATCTTTTTTTGCAAAATCAATCCTAAAATTGAGTTTAAAGTTCAAATTTGGTCCATGTAGTTTGCAAAAAACTGCATAACATGATTTTTTTAACTTTATTTTTTTGTTTTTTATATACTTTTATTTATTTCGGTTATATATATATATATATATATATATATATATATATATATATATATATATATAGTTTATTAATTTTTATTTTTATATATTGTATATATTTTTGTTTTTTATTTACTCTAATATATTCATACATTTTACACTTTATATATTTTTTTAGTTTTTTTTCATTTTTCTTTTCGTATTATATTTTAATTTTTCATCTTTTTAATTTTTTTTCCTTATTTTCCGTATTATGTGTTTTAATTTTTTTTATTTTTAACATTTTCTTAACATTTTTCAAAAAAGTAAAATGTATTAATATATTAGAGTATATTACAGTTTTGGTAATTTATAGTTTTTGTAATTTTTTTATTTTAATTCAAGTAAATAAAATAGTTATATTTATATTTGTAATTTCGGTCCAACTTATTTTCTTTTTATTTTTTTGTTCTTTAGTGGTACTATATTTATGTTACGAAAAAAATGTAAATTAAAAAAAAATAGTTTGTTTATTGAGAATTAATGTTTCAATGTGTGATATAACTTGCAAATTAAATCATATTTCTAAATGTGATATCAATAGTTTAAATTCAAGATAATATTTTCAACTTAACAATAGACTAAAACAAAGAACAAAAGAAATAATAATAGTCGGTCTCTATAAAAAAAATGTTATAGTATTTTATATTGAATTCAAGTTCATTTAATTGAATCAAAATAAATAAAAACATTAGAAAAATATAAACAACTAAAATAGAAAAAATAGAAAACAAAAGTAAAAAAGGTAAAAAAAAATTAAATTAAATTGTTGAAAAATAAAGTTAAAAAATGAAAATATGTAAAGTATATATAAAAAAACATATATATATATATATATATATATATATATATATATATATATATACACACACACTACACACACACGAAAATAAATAAAATATACAAAAAAAGAAAAATAAAGTTAAAACAACCATGTGCTGTGATTTTTTCCAAACTACAGAGACCAAATTTGAACTTTAAATCCAATTTTAGGAATGATATTGCGAAAAACTTAACAAAGTTTTTTGCAAAATGTTAGGGTTTAGGGAAAATGACATTGTAGTACATTAAAGTTTCGTCATTTGTCCAATTTGGTCATTTAAGTTTTTTTTTTGCTCAATAGACCACCAAACTCGTATTTGACCTATCAATTAAGTCATTTTACGAAAAATTAACAGGTTACCCGGTAACAAAATCTGATGTAGCATTAGTAATTAATTTTTTTTTATTGTTTGGTATTGTGATGTGTGTGATGTGTATGGAAGCTTCGAGCTCATCTCCATCTCTATCTTCTTGCTTGAACATGTTACCCCTATCCCTCTGTTATATTTTTCTCTTCCCAAGACAACTATTCCTTTTTCTTATTTCTTATGACTGTGTTCATCGGAAATTCTCCCCATCAAAGAACTGCCACCGATCTCTTACTGTCTAACCTCTAAAATCCAAGTCTGCTACAGTAACTATTTACTCACAACTCCTTCTCTCAATTTCTTTTCAGATATAACTAGATCCTAATCATTTCTGTGTTCCAAGCCTCCCACATTGAAGCAGTCTTCATGTTTTCAATCATCTTGTTCGAATGAACCTAGCTACACAACCCCAATCAGAATCCATTAGAATATATGAACTTTTCACATCACAATGAGCAGAGGGTTGATTTAAGTGTAGAGAAATGCAAGAGCTTTTACAACTTCCATCGCGATTTTAAACCGAAGCGGTCAATTCAATGGTGAGAAGCCTCCTGAAGATGGTCGTTTGGTGTCAAAAAACTTGAGCGAGACCTGGACATGGTGCGACGAAGACCTACAGTGGCATGATACCGGTGCATTGGTTTCTTTCTCTCCTGAAAATTTCTTCTTTTGTTTACCCTTTTTGAGGAGGAAACAAAGAAGTATACATGAGTAGATTAAAATTAATAACAAGAATCCAAAAATGGATGAACCGATTATGATTATCAATCTTGCGCAACTGATGTAATCGGTGATCTTAATGTTGTTGAGGCTTCAGGTTACAAATTTCCCAACAAGAACTATTTTGACGAAGAGAACATGAATTGCAGACTTTATCGTTGTTTGAGTAGACGAACTCGAGGTGAACAAGTCATTTGAGTAGTTGAATCCACATGGAGAACAAACTATTTAAACTGTTAAATCTGGTTCGTGAAGAAGACTATGTTGAAAGTGAAGTTCTTTAGGCCACAAGATCCGGGAGTGCATAAATCTGGACTCATAACTGTAATTGATTATTGATGTTAGATGGAGAAGAAGCGTTTGCAACCAACAATAGAGAACAATATCATCTTCTTAGGGGTGAAAATTTATGACACGTCACGACAA